TTAGTTTCCAACACACATATATATATAAAGAACATTCAAACTGAAACTATATGTGCAATTATTATAGAAAATCTACAATTAGCAACAAGGTTTATTTGTCTCTTGTCTCTTGCATGTGTCTTCATACACGAACAACTCGAACACTTTATTCGTGTCTTCATACACGGATAACTCGAATTACCAATAAACTAGTTATAGTGTCTCCATACACGAATAACTTGAGTACTTAATCGAATAAATCATAAACTTTGTTACACGACTACTTGTATCTTCATATATATTTAGCCGTTTGCCTCTTTCGTAATTGCAAATCAATAACCCTCATATTTAACTTAGACATAAATCGATATTTGCTATCAATAGAGTAACATATCCGTCGCTAAAGTAAAACCGATATACCGAACTTTTAAGAGGTAGTCTTGGGTGTAACAGTACCAAAAAAAACAATTTAAATTTTAGGGTTTGAACAGAATCGGTGGCAATGCTATATATCGTGATAAAAAATTTGGGGAATTGCTATCAACACAGCAACATGTGATCTAAAGTTTTAATTCCAATAATGCTGGCCATACTGTGCCGATAAGATTATTAGCTTGCAATTCATATTTAAACCACGTGATTAAATGTACGACCAGCTGACATAAGTAGCTACTTAATGAGGTGTCCTACATACAAGATCTTCCACCGGTACATGGAATTATTTCGTTATTTGGGCAATCAAGATGCAAATGGAATACGAAATAACAGGAAAAAATGATGAATTTGGAGATGATACTTGTGCAAAAGAATCATCACATTTCGAGCAAGCATCTGATTTTTTTTCTCGGTTAAAAATATTGTTGGAAGATGCACATCATATCGAAACGAATAATGAAGATGACATTGAGCAGGAGATAAATTTAACAAATTTGATTGATTTGGTAATTTAAATTATTACAATTAAAGAGTTTCGAGAGTTGTGTAATTGATTCGAAAATTATTTATATATAAAATTTTTATGTTTAATAAAGATTAATCCATATCAAGAGCAACCATTTCTTTTAGATCCACATTTAGAGAATATGGTCAAGCCTGTTATTGAATTACTTCGAACTTATATAAAAACTATCAATGTACAAGGATTTGTGTTTTCGAAGGATGCACAAAATAAACCTGAATTTATTCAGATGCCTAAAAAAATAAAAAGACTTTTTAAATTATTATATTATCTGATGAAAATTCGTGGATATAAAACTATTGGTAAAATACATGTAAAAATTTAATAAATATTATTTCTTAATTTCGATAAAATTTTCTTAATTCTGATATATAATTAATATAAATATTTTCGGCTAAAAAAATAATATATAGTGAAATTCTTTACGCATGAAGTATCAGATTTGGAACCAACTTTTTATTTCATGGTTGCCCAGGATTCTAAGGATTATACCGGTTGGGAGACAAGATATGTATTGTTAATATGGTTATCACTAATTTGTATGGTTCCTTTCGATTTAAAGACTGTTGACAGTCTAGCTGCTGCTGAAGAAAATAAGGTAAATTACGGTTTAATTGTTCTTTATATATATATGTGTGTTGGAAATTAATATAACTTATCGTTATTTCATAGTTTCCTCTTGTGGATCATATGATTGAGTTGTCAAAGTTTTATTTAAAGGCTACTGGTAAAGAAAGAGATGGTGCGGCAGTGTTTTTGTCTCGTTTATTAACAAGGTTGAAATAATTGTAGTGATGCTACTATTATACATATCATTCATTGTATTAATCTTATTTCATGATCTTAGACGAGATATTGCCGAATTATATCTTGCAAATTATATTAAATGGGCACAAGATGAAGTTAAAAATGACAAGGATGTGTTTACGGTAAAATTATCACTTGATTGGTTTATAATCGATTTTATTTGCTTGAAAAAGTATTCATAGTTTGGCTTATTGGTTAGATTACCGGTATTATCACGTCCCTTTGTGCCATTTATAAACTTGGTCAAAGGCAAACATTATTACCAACGTTAGAATCTGTACTACCGTGCCTTAACTTACTTGAAGGAAATCAATCATTTGTGAATAATACACTTATTAGAAAATTATTAGTCAAATTGGCACAAAGGATTGGTTTATGCTATCTAAAACCAAAAGTGGCTTCTTGGAGATATCATAGGGGTATATTTTAATGTTTTAAATTGTTTTTATTTATGGTTCATAAAATACAAAAAAAAATAAACATTAAATATTAAATGTAATATAGGTAGTAGGTCACTTAAGGATAATTTGAATGCACTATCAAAATCAACAACTATTGATCCTTCAAATGTGCACCAATCTTTGGAAGATGAAAAAGATGAAGATGATGAAGTACCTGAACAGCTCGAAGAGATCATAGAAATTTTATTGAATGGTCTGCGTAGTAAGGTGAACTTTTATCAACGTTGGATATCAGTATTTCTAAGAAGTCTTTTTTTTTTCATGGCCGTAAGAAATATCCTTGTTTTCTGTTTATGATAGGACACAGTCGTGCGTTGGTCTGCTGCTAAAGGCATAGGGCGAATCGCACAACGGTTACCACAGGAACTTGCTGATGATGTGATCGGTTCTTTATTTGAATTGTTCTCCGAAAATACATATAAAAATAATGATATATTAGAATTGTCTGCAGTATCTGACCATACCTGGCATGGTGTATGCTTAGCTATAGCTGAATTAGCAAGAAGGGGATTATTATTACCAGAGAGACTATCTGAAGTCATTCCCTGGGTTACCAAGGTAAATTACTACTCTATTTTAATTTCTTATTTGAATGATGCATAAATGAATCTTTTGTTTTTATAACTGCTAGGCATTAAAATTTGACCAGAAACGTGGTTCTCATTCGATTGGTGCTCATGTACGGGATGCCGCTTGTTATGTTTGTTGGTCTTTTGCTCGTGCCTATGCACCTGAAATTATCGCACCATATGTAGTCGAGTTAGCAAATAATCTCGTTGTAGTATCTGTATTTGATCGTGAAGTGAACGTTAGACGTGCTAGCAGCGCCGCTTTTCAAGAGAATGTTGGTCGTCAGGTTAGTTTTCAGGCAGGGTTTTATTCTCATGATAAATCCGAATTTACAACTAAGTTTGCAGTGCGACAACCTGCAAGTATAAATTAATGTCTTGTAGGACTTCCAAAAATTGTGATATTACATAATTTAGTAATATATGATCAAGTACATACGTGCGTAACAAATAACTTGTCTAGGAAAATGACAGCTGAGAATTTAAGAATTCTCAGATTGACCATCAAAATGATTATTACCCCAATATTAAATCCTAAATCGGAGAGTTCTCAAGTTCACAGACCGACATTTCCTTAACCAGCCCTCATTACTGTTAAAACGGTTAGAATGCTGATTCAATTATATAATATCACAATTGTTTGAATAGGTCTGGTCAATGAAAACTTAAAGTAGTGCTTACAGGTTAAAGTTCATGTGAAAAACGAAATTGGTTTCAAAAACTCTATATATATATAGAGTCGTGCTTATGAAATTTTAGTATTTATGTTTTATCATTGTTATTTAGGGTATTTTTCCTCATGGCATAGAAATTATTACCACAGCTGACTATTTTACCGTTGGTAATAGGGTTAATGCTTTTCTTGACATAAGTGTGAAAATTGCAAAGTTAGTATATATATATTTGTCATTTATAGAGTTTATATTATAAAAATTTTTGTTCATAACTTTATCTATTCAGGTTTGTAGAATATAGATATAATCTGATTGATCATCTAAGTAAACAAACAATATCTAATTGGGACAAAAGCATGAGGGTACTAGGAGCTAAAGCTTTACACAATCTTGCATCTCTTGATCTCGACTATTTCATCAATAATGTTTTACCATTCTTGGTGAGCTTTGAACTTTCATATTAATTATCTATTTAGGTTTCATCAGCTCAACAACATTTGATTTTCAGATTCCTCAAGCTTTATCCTTTGACGTACATACAAGGCATGGTGCTTTATTAGCAATAGGAGAAATATGTTTGGCTTGGTCAAATTTACAAAATGACGATGAAAGCTGGATTGAGAGGCATAAAGATTTAATTAAAGTATTCTTCAAAAACGATTGTTTAAAAATTTTGATATTTAACTCAATATTCAATTTAGCATTTAATTTAATATTTAACTTAATATTCAAAACTATTATTACTCAAGAACATAGCCAATATAGTCGGATCTCTTCCTGAGCATGCATTTACAGATTTTGGGTCGGAAGTTACAGTTCAAGCGGCAGTAAGTCATATCTCTAGCTTAGCTAAAGCTAGATGGCCTGTAACTGATGAAGTTTTGAACAAATGGAAAAGTGTAGTTTATGATCTTCTCAGCAGAAAAGATGAAATTGGGCAAGAAATTGCTGTACATGCTGTTGAAGCACTTGTGGCTCAACATGGAATTGATGAATCAGAATTGGATATATATCCTTCCAATAAAAGAGATTATTTATTGTGTTGTTAAAGTTTAGTTGTCACTAATATAAATTCATACATATATCTTTGACTACCTTTGCACGTATATCGATCACTGCCATCCTTCAAAAAATGTTCATGCAAGAAAAGGTTTTACACTTGCTCTGGGTGTTATAGAATATTATAAGATTCCGGAATGTTTGGATCGTGCAATTGAGTCCCTAATTTTATCTTCAGAGATACAGGTTTCTTATAATGATTCATTTTATTATAAAATTTTAGGTTTGTAAATATTACTCACTATTTTTTTATAGGAAACTAAAGTATGGAATGATCCAGAAACTCGAAGAAATGCGATTATTTCATTAGCAAAGATATCTAAAAAATTTGGTGATTCGTTTAAAACAGGTATTTTTCATTATCGGCAATGTCTTAATTTTTTGTTCTTATTCTAATCAAGTCTAAAACTATTACAGTGGTTTCTAAACCCATTTTTGATAAAATTATCAATGCTTATTTCATTGGTCTCGAAGATTATAGTACAGATCAGCGAGGAGATGTTGGATCTTGGGTTCGTGAAGCTTGTATGAATGGATTTTCTGAAATTTGTCCACTTATTGCACGATTGGACTTAAATGATCCCGGTTGTGAACCATGGTTGTCAAATGAATTAAGTATAAGGATCTTTTCTAAATTATTAAAACAAAGTGTTGAGAGAATTGATAAAATCAGATCTTGTGCTGGCCGAGTATTATTGGAATTTCTATATATGAAGGTTCTTTCAGGAAATGAAGAAGTGTATCTATTTAATTTGCCTGCTCGCGAAATTTTACAAAATATCTTGCCAAAGTATGTGACAATTATACACAACCTTAATGCCATCAATAATTCTACGAAACAAACTAATTGCTATATTTTTCAGAGATGAAGAGATCCACTGGACCTCTCCATTAGAACTGTACCCTAGGATGGTCAAATTACTCGCATTAAAAGAATATAGATTTGATTTACTTGTTGGATTAGTAATTGCAGCTGGTGGTATAAATGAATCCTTGGTCAGTTTGATACATTTGATATTTGTTACATTAGTCGTATCTACATAATACACATCCATAATTAACATTATTTGATTTATAGGTTCGTTATTCAAGTAGTGCGTTACTTGATTATGCAAATGAACTCCCCGTTACATCACCCGAAAATTCATCATTATCATTGACGGAATTTGCAAATGAACTATTAAACATATTTCGTCACAATAAAAAACAAGATCGTATAACTATTCCTTTATTGGAAGTTTTGGATTTATTATTAGAATCTGGAACTTTACAAAAAATTAATTCGGACTTTTTCAGGCATGTATAATTTTATTTTTTGGTTTTATATTCCAGACTAACAAGATATCTTTATCATTACACGCAGTTTTGCAGATTTATTTGAATATGTAAAAAAAGAAATTTCAGGGACGCGAGAGATAAGAAAAATCACAGCCTGTATGCGAATGTAAGTCACCGATTGGGATTTTTTTCTTATATCACTTTATATCATTCAAATTATTATATATCATGTAGTCTTTGTGGAATGACATCGTTAAGTGGTACGGTGCGAAATCGTTCTTTATATCAATTACTTAGTTTATTAGTACATCCTTTTCCAAAGGTAAGGCTTTTTTATTATAATTCAATATTAGATTTATAATAATTATTTACTAAATTCAGGTTTGTTATTTTCTTCAGGTTCGAAGATCGACTGCAGATCAGTTGTATTTAACACTTACCGGGTCAATAGAAGATGAATCAGAGGAAATGTCAACGATTGAAGATATTTTAGTCAATACTGATTGGTAATTTTTTTTTTGTATCATAACAAGGTTCTTATTTTTGCAATAATCAACGAACTTTTTATCAAAATTCTTTTATTATATTATAGGGATAGTCCTGTACCTCAATTAAAGGAACTTAGAAATCAACTTTATCCTTTATTAGGACTGAAACAACCCAATTTTAAAAAGCCTGACACTAATACAACCTCAACATCCTAATTCATGGTTTAATTAAAACTTTCGGTTAATAAATCCTATAGTAAAAATCATTGGTGATCACCAGTGATTTACAATAATTAAAATTAAATTTTTATAAAGCAAAAATTAATTTTTTTAATATTTAGGGTAAGGTTTAAAAGCTAGAACTAGAATAAAAAGGATTTATCCTCAAAATTTATGGAGTATTCTTTTTTTAGAACCCCCAAAGTAGTTTTGTTAATTTTATATTATACACTGGTGATGATCACAAATAGCAAATCTCAATCGATTATTTGTATTTTTTATAAAACGTCACTCGACACCTGGCCATAACGACATTTTTTAAAAGTTTGAACCTATATACCTAATATAAAAGTGCCTCTGGCTAAACCGACATCTAGTATATCGGACAATTTTTTTTTTTTTTTTTTGAGCTAATCGATATAACCAGTGTTATCTATTAGAAAATTGCTATTTACTACCAGTAGTAGTTGTATCGTAACTTGTGCTTAAGTGCTGAAACCCCTATTGATATCTTCCCATACACCTCTACTTGGTGATTGGGACAAGTAGGAGAGATCTTTCCGAAACTAAGTACCTCAAACAATATTAGATTTAATCAAAAAACCAATTATAAAATTTTTGTTTGATTTATCTAGAAGAATTAAAGTAGAGAATTATGTTTTTTTTTGACTTTATGGTTAATAAGGTTATTAAATAAATTTGAAATTCGATATTCTTAAATAATTACAGTATAACCTCGATATAACGAAGCTCTGGAGCTGGAAACAGGAGGAACCGTCGATGTTACACTAATGATTTTTCACCCGGTGTGCAACATATAAAAAAATCATTTTACAATA